GCGGCCAGAGGGTGGATGGATGGATGGATGGATGGATGGATGGATGGATGGAGGACGAGGGAAGGAGCCCAGCTTTGTTTGGTTTTGTCCTTAAATTAAAAAGAAAACGGGGGGACAGTGCGATTTTGATGAGTTTCCGGGAACTCTTAACACTTTCCAGTGCAGGGGGGGGGGTTCAGTCCTTGTGTCTCCTTTTGCCTTGTTGTGTTGGCCGGCTCCTTTGTTTATACAGCCCCCGTTCGACCTTTTAAATTGCTGTTAATGTTTTAGCGTAACGAATTAGTCTCTCATCACGAATCAGGACTCAAAATAAAAAAAAAAAAAATATAAAAAAACCCTCCAAGGCCAACTTCCTGAAATTGGGGTCATTCTCATTTGCAAGGCAGAGAATCTGAGAACCTTAATGCAAGGAAATTTATTCAAAGGCAGAGCCCCGGCGTGATTAGGCCCTTTGTAATTATAGCTCGGAGAGATTCCACTCCAGCCTCCTGCCTCCCTCATGGATTAGCAAGTGAGTCGGAAAAATACACAGGATTTAATTAGAGGCAAATTAAAATTGGTAATGAAATAGGGGCAGTAGCAAATGGCAGGGAGTTGGAAGGGGAAAAGGGAGCTGGTATCTCTCGGGGCTGCGCTGTCTGCCTACGTGTGTGTCTCTTTATTTTACATTTAGAAATGTAAAGATGGTCGATGTAAAGAAGAAAGGGAGGGAAAGGACCAAAAAGGGAGGGTGGGGGGGAAACAAAAAGAAAGGAAAAGATTAGCTGGCTTTGCCGAGCATCGCCGAGCGAGCTGCAGCGGAGAGGGTGGCTCTGCTCCCGGCTCCTTGCTGGTGTGACTTGTCCCTTGTCCCACGCTGTCCCCATCTTTCTCGGCATCTGGCCAAGGCCCACGAAATGGGGTCGTGTCTTACAAAACGGGGTCGTGGCCCGCGTGCAGCGCAGGGGCTCGGCTCCTAAACCCTCTCAGCGCTGATGGGGTGAGCGAGCATTTGCCGTAGCCCTGGGTGGCTTTGCAGAGCGTTTGGCTGTAGACAAGCCGAGCGTGGCCAGGGCAGCCTGGAGCCGTGGGGACACAGAGGGGCTGGGCGAGGAGGAGGATGGGGAGGAAGAGGAGGGGTCCGGGCGGCGGGGCGAGGGCCGTGCCGCTGAGCTCTCCTGCCCGCTCTGCCCACAGAACGCCGTCCGCCACAACCTGAGCCTGCACAAGTGCTTTGTGCGCGTGGAGAACGTCAAGGGAGCCGTCTGGACTGTTGACGAGCATGAGTACCAAAAGCGAAGGCCACCAAAGATGACAGGGTGGGTCCTCCTCTCCCGCGGGACGCAGCCCGGGAGCCGCGCTCGTGCCCACCTCCACTGCCAACCCCCCCGTCCCCAGGCCGGGAGCGCTCAGCCGTGCATCGTTCTGCTTTCTCTCTTTCTGCAGGAGTCCAACTTTAGTCAAAAACATGATTTCAGGACTCGGTTACGGAGCACTTAATGCAAGTTACCAGGTAAAGACCCAGACCCAGCCCCATCCCTGGCAGGGATACGGGGGCACTAAACCTTCGCCGCTCCGCAGTCTTGTTTTCCATCGCGGTCTCGCATCCTCCGTGCCTTGAATCGCTGCCGCTTTCCGTTGCAGGCTGCGCTGGCGGAGAGCAGCTTCCCGCTGCTGAACAGCCCCACCATGATCAACACCAGCTCCGCCAGCGGCATGCTGCACGTGGGCCATGACGACGTGAGCAGCACCGTGGAGCAGGTCAACAGCAACGGCAGCAACAGCCCACGCCTGTCCCCGCAGCAGTACAGGTCAGGACAGCAAGGGGACGAGGGACGGTGCCGGTGGGTGTTACTGGGCTGCTGGAGGGTTTGGAGCTAAGGGACGGTGGCACTACGGGCACCGGGAGCCGCTCGTTGCCTCCCGTGGCACCTGTCCCCCCAGGCGAGGGGCAGCGTGGGGATGGAGGGGGTTTGGACTGAGAGCTTCGTGGGGTTGTGGCCAGCGGGATCGGCTGCCCGAGGCTGAAGGCTTCCCTCCCCACAGCCATCCAGTGCACGTGAAGGAGGAGCCCGCCGAGGCGGAGGACGACAGCAGACCCGTCTCGCTGATGGCCACCACCAACCAGAATGTGACAATTCCCGACGACAGGGACCTGGAGGAGGAGCTGCCGGTGGAAGACTTGTCCTAAGGACCCCTTCCTCCTCCCCACCAAGGGGCAAACCCTTCCCACCCTCCCGGCCGGAGACCAAGCGATGGCTCCCACCTCCCCAAGGTGACCTTCGGCGTTAACCTGTTTTTTAAAGGCACTTCCACAAAGCAAAAGGGTTTCCTTGGTGCAACAACCTGTTGCTGACGGTGCGTCCCTCACGCTCCCCACTGCCCCGCGCTGCAGCCCCGGTGACTGACTGACCCCTGCCGCGGGGGACATCCCGCGACATGAGAAGCAAAAACCCAAGAGCTGGACTTTTTCTCCCTTCCTCCTTTGGTTAGTGACTGGTGAACGAGGATGGTAGGTTGTTTCTGTTCGAAATGGTCCCTCCTTCCTTCCCCGTGCACGGTGGGCACAGGGAGGGCACCTCTGTCCCCTCTTCCCCTGCGGTGCTCTGCCACCCGGCGATGCTCGAGCCTCCGCCAGCGACTGCCCCAGGGAGGGAAGGCGATGGCAGGAACCTGCTGTCATCTCTCCGTCCCCCGGTGGGTTTTGCACTAGGAGGGACCGTGGACCCTGCCCACGTGCTGCCTCCACCCAGCTTTGGGGGAAAAAACAGCAGAAACAGGGGCCGAGTCCTCTGCCATGGTCTGGATGTCGGGCTTGCACCGTTGTCTCATGGCTGGGGAAGGACAAGGACCGGCACGTCGGTGGGACTGTCCCCCCTTTGCCTTGTCACCTCCAGCAGGTTGCTAAACTGCCTGGCGAGCAGAGTGACCGTGCCGGGTTGGCCGCCCTCCCCGAGCCCCCCGGTCCCCGCTGGTGGGGGGGCTGGTGGCACCCAGCAGTGATGACCATCCCCAGCCGACCACCAGCGCCAGGCAGCGAGGACACGGCTCCCTGCTTCCTTCTCGATGTCGGCCGCAGCGGGTGACACCTCTCCCAGCCCATGCGGGGATGGCCAGTGGCCCGACTTCGACTTCAGGGAAAGGCTCCCGACCCCCTGCGCGCCCGGTTCCTCCTCCGAAGCCGGGGCAGGGTCTCCGAGGACGGGCAATGGCGCGGGGAGGCAGCATCCACCGCCGCCGAGCCTCCTCCTGGGGGGCACCCACAGAGGAGCTGGCACGGGCAGAGCCCAGCGGTGAGCCGCTGCTTGGCCATCCTGCCA